GTTTTTTGCGATATCGACACATATAAAGAATAATTTTTATCTTAGGATAATTATTCTTTATTCAGAAATATCGCATTATTTATGGCAATTAGATGTGTCTTGACAACGACTATTTGCTTTTACCATTCTTGTTTCTCTACCATTTAGTTTTTTATTTTTATTTTATTCATGTTAATTTGTATATATGTACATATGTGTGTGTGTATATATATATTTTTAAAATCTCCATATTTCAATATGTCATTATGACATACCACAAATTCTGAATTACGCATTCTAGTTAGTATTCATTTCTCAATCCATTCGATTAGCCACAACCTAACAGTTATTCTGTGTGGTTTTAACAATTGTTTCATTGGTTAATTAAAACGCATTTTCTTAAATAATTCAATGTTATTTAGCTCGATAAACTTCGATTCATGTATTTTGTACTAAATTATTGACGATTCATTCGCAATTCCACATGGATTTACGACAGCATTGAAGAAAAGTGAACAAAGAAATCAAAGGCTTTAGGATCATAGAATATATTTGTATGAAAAAATATAACACAAAATATTGATTTATCTGGTAATACTTTGAAAATTTTAAATTAATATATTTATACACAGAATCAAATATATGATTTACATTATTTTTCAAAGAAAACAATTTAAAACATCAATAAAAGATAGAAAATTTATTCTACAGAAATTATTTTACCTGCATACTACAATTATCAATAATCATATTGTCAAGTTCTATCTGTGGGTATTCTTTAGCAATATCAATACATGTATTCAAAAACAATCCATCAGCAAGCTTCCTGTAAAAAAGATTAAAATAAAAAAAATCATGCATTGAAATATATTAAACCAGTTTAGTATACACTTAAACACATTCAACTTAGAGGTGAACAAGCCCGCAGAACAAGTATGGCTAATGAAGTATTTTTCTTTATTGCCCTTGAGTTGTTCTTAAGATTTAAATAAAACTATAAAAGAAACAAAAAGTAATGGAAAGTTTTTTTTTCCAGCCAAGCTTTACAATTATAAGTAACTTATTCAAATCTCCATAACTTACATGTTAACTAATAAATTAATAACATATAAGTTATGGAGCAAACTCACTTATGGAGATACTAATAACATACATGTCAAACATGTTAACTTGCAACTGTATCAGAAACACTACTTTTATTTTATGTATTTATTGTTTTATTTTTGTGAAAGTCAAATAGAGAGGTCAATAAAAAATTTCAAATTCCTAATTTTTTTTCTCATCTCCGCACACCCATAATTTGAATGTTGACAAAAAAAACTAGGAAAGTTGAGAGAAAAAAAAATTACTTTTCACTTACATAATATTAGCTTTATGAACCGCAGTAACTTTCTTCCTGTTGTGCTTGACAGCATAATCAAAAGCGTATCTTGCAATTTCTTCAGACTTCTTCCTGGTCACAATTTTCATGCTTTCAACAACTCCAGGGACACTCTGAAAAAAGAATTAAAGGTATTGACTACAATATTTTTACTGAACAAGGTAAATCAAGTTATTTAAAAACTGTGTCTTTTTACTCATTGTTATCTGCATGAAATCAATAAAAATTATCACAATTAAATAACCTTGTCAATCATTGAATCTGAGAAAGATTAGATTACTTAAGATTAGATTATATTAATATTTCTTTCTAAGCTAGCTAACCTTATAGTAAACTCAAAGTAAATAATCTATAATTTGAATGACATAAAGCATGAAAATGCACAGCCTATTTAGCATTGGGATTTCAAGAATGAGTACAGCACAGAATTTGGAATTTTTCCAATGGTGTTGCCACCGGAATAAAATATAATACATTAGCTTCTCATTTTGCATAAAATTAGCTTTGTGATAAAAAAAAGTTTTTTTTTGCATAAAATTAAATTAATACCGATTTTTTAAGACAAATATTAAATGAGAGATATGATAAACATTTTATATGAAATGGTATTGAACAAAATATAATTTATGAGCTTAAAGTTCTTAAAAGTAAGAACTATTTAAATTTTGCTTTTCTAATGTTGCCAGAAAAATTATCTGCGAAAAGGCATAATAAATTTCAACAGCATATAAAATTTTAAAAAAGTGACATTTATATTGAAAGGAATGTGAGGTTTAATGACTTAAGTTCTAAAAAGTTTAAACCTCTGTTTCGATGTGGAACAGTAGAACATGTTTTGCCACACCATACATTAAAAAATACATACTTAACTGGAAAATCATATTTATAGCTCATTTTGTTCACGTTAATGGGTGTGGTTACAATGATAAAAATTAGCTTAGTGAAGTAAACAGACTTGAATTTAATGCAGTAAAAAATGCAGAAACAATGTATAATTTTAGAAATTTGTATTTGTCAGCAGTAAAGAAGTTAACAGCTAACTGCAGAAAAGTTTAATTTAGAATTTAATGGCACAATTACTTTCCCATACTGAAAAGGTATGTTAACAGATCTAATAGTGCTATAAACTAAGTGACATTAAAAAGGGAAGAGAAGATCTGTGGTGAACATCACAACCATTGAATCTGTGAATATCTACAATTTCACAATACAATTTTACTGCGAATACTGAATGTATAATATAAACCTCAATCTAAAAACATAATTAAAAAAAAATTTTTTTAACAAAAATAAAAAGACCATAACAGTCAATAACCAGATAAATAATAATAATGAGTAACTTTAAAAAAGAAAATGCACTAAAACTTGCTTCGTGTTCCAAACAGCTGTATTCCCCTTCTGTGTTCTGTCTGATGAGTACAATGTCAATGTTGTTATGCCTGGTTTTTATTCCAGACTGACTTTTACAATGTAAAACATTCACATAGAGGCCCAACTCCAACCTAAAAAAAAAAAAAATTTATTTTTACACTTATGTGACGGGTAAAATTAATCTTGAGAAGTAAAATATAGAGAAAAGGAAAGTGAAAAATCATTATAAAAATATTTTGCATCCAATATTTTTTAGCAATACTTAGAAGTAAACTAATATTTAAGTATAAAAAATTAACTTTAATAAAACAGTAGGACCCACTTCAAAGCAACAATCTTGAATTATAAATTCCCAATTTAATGACGATAGACTATTTTGTTTAGTAAAATATTATAGATGTTTTGTTTATTAGCAAGCAACTTTTTGGATTTAACTGCAGAAACAAATTTGGAAGCATAAAATGATATTAGAAATAATCTAAACAAAAAATACATTATCAATCCTTTTAAACTACAGTTAGTTCTTTAGTAAATGTCCTTCTACTTAATTAATCTCTATTTCAAGACAATGCGTCACAGTTCTGGCTCTTATGCAGTAGAAAAATCTCTATTTAAGGAGGATAAAGTCTTTGTCTAAAGAGAAAATTTTTTTATAAGTATTCATTAATTGTTTTTTATTTTTTTATTTTAAAGAAGCGACTTTCTATGAGAGATAACAAATTTGGCTGTAATGGAGTTGAGGGAAGCAAAGAAGATGTTAGGACAGACCATTTCTTTAACTTTAATGAAAATAATCTGAACAACTCTCAAAGTCGTTACACAGAAAGCTAACTGTATTAAATGAGTTTTAAAGCACAATAATTTTAAAGCAAGTTTTGCTATCCATGCTCTTTAGTGTGGCTGTTAAAAGTGGTGTGTTCAGTGTGACTTTAAAGCAAGTG